ACTGTAGACTGAAAAGCCAGGGGAGATCATGGGTAAGGCACTGCAAGGCTGCTCTCTGCAGGTCAATAGTACAATGTGGGGGAAACCACATCAGTGGTCACCAGGTTGCTCCTTTTCTTTCTCTGAGCTCCTCTAACTCATCCGCTAGTACTGGGGAGAGTAGAGCAGGAAGGTTTAAGCAAGGGAAGCAAGGGAGAAAACCAGATCCTTTTTCTCCTAATTTCTACTTAAGTGAAGGAGGGAGTAAAACAGTGGAGCCAGTTCAGCCCCATGCCTTACCTGCAATACTCTCTTGCCTTGTCCATGGAGAAGGACTGCTCCTTGGCTCCAGAACAGCATCAGCTATCCTAAACCAATTCTGGACGTGATTTTCTAATTTAAAAACTTCCAAGGTGAAGGCTTCATGAGTTCCCAGACAGTCTAGTTTAGTGCTTCACTAGTTGTGCTATGAGAGAGCTTTTTCCTACATCTCTCTTGCTGCAGTTTGAGTCCATCACTTTTCTTACCTGGCAAGGAAAAGAGATGGTTACATCCTCTTGGTAGCAAGCTTTTATATGTTTAAAAACCATTATCATGTATGGCATTTGTCTTCTCTTTTCTGTTCTAGGTAAATCTACTTATTAAACATTCTCTATAAAAACAGCATGTAAAAATATACATATATATATAATACACATATGTATATGTATACATATAATGTATTTATAGTTTATCTAACCTGTATCTCATAAAGATAAGCTAGTTAATAAAATGAATAGTTAATGAGTAGCACTAACTACTGTGATAACTAATCTATGGAATGACTCGTTTCTGTGTCTGTTGACAGTGTTTTTTTTCAGAAAAATGTTTGGAAATTCACTTGCATATGCCACTAACTGTTGTTTTGCTTCAACAGAAAATGTATCGCAAGGATTTTGAAGAAAGCCTTAAGGGAAGGCCCTCAATGGATTTAGACAAGACCCCAGAGTTCTTGCATATAAAGCAAGTCACTAACCTTCTGAAAGAGGTAAAGAATTTGTATTTATTTTTGCCTTTGCTAAAATGTAAGTGGACAATTAGCAATATCATTAATGAGTACTGAACAATTTACATTTAACATTGTAGGTAAATAGAAAGTGACTTCAGGAATAAAAATTGCAATGTGTCTTTTCATATTCTGAATAGTCCTGTAGAAAGAATCAATATTTTCTGAAGATTTATAACCATAAGGAAATGATCAAATTCAGCACACCTGAACCAGAAAAACAGAGTTAACTGAACAAATCAGATGATTCTGTAAAGAAAATGGATTGTTACCCTGACATTCTCTGTGAGGGCCTCAGTTTTGGAATTTGTTCTTCCCCTGAGCTTGATTTTGGTGACCTTCCAGGCATGCTGCAAAAGACATCTGTTTGATAGGATTTTGGAGAGGGCCAGGAGTTTGCTTTCCAGATAAATGAGGGGGTACAAAGGAGGATTTTAGTTTGTGTCCAGATGGCAGTTTTTCCTTTTGAGTAATTATTTCATGTTTTTGATGCTTTATTGTAGTTATATGGATGCCATGAGCTTTGTGTAGGTCACTTTTTCTTAACTATTTTAATTGAAATAATTATCTATCACACATGTTATGAATGAAAATAGGGAAAACCAGAATTCTACTATATAGGTCTGAACAGTAAATTACACTGTTTGCTTTAAGCATATTTTGTTAGAAGCTGCCAATTTTCTAACGCCAACTGTTTCTTTTTCTCCAAAGGTTCTTAGGTTGAATGTATTATAAATTAAATCATTACTGAAAATGACAGGAAGCTTCTTCTTATACAATGAAATAATGGTTTATGATATATGTGAATGCTAGAACATTTTGTCAATGAACCGAATCTTTTTGTCTTTAGTCTTTTTACATCATCTTTCACAACTGTTTTTGTGTTGGGTTTGGAGAATTGGTTGCTTCCATACATAAGGTATCTACATAAGGTACATACATTTGACCAAATTTAGGAACAAATATATCAGAAAATCCATAGTTAAAAAATAAAATTCATAGCTGAAAAATAAAATGCCAGAGTTGCCAGATATATACCCCTTGAATTTGGGATCCAAAAGTACCTTGCTTGTATTTATATTGTTAAGAAATGATGGCTTTGCTGCAGCCCAAATAGATGAAAGAATTAAATGACAGAATTAAAACCCCCAACCTACTTTGGATGTTCCTTATCCAAGCTTATGCTAGATTTCATAAGGAAAAAAGGAAGACTCTCTTTTCAAATATTTCTTTATTATTCATTTTCTAATAAATAAATTGTTCTAAGAATCTTGTCTGTTGGACAGGTATCAATCTAGGTCTGGGCTAGTACAGTACCATTCTGTGCATCTAAAACTCTCCCGTATTTCTCATATTTGTCTATTGTCTGGAAAAAAAAATGCAGGTACTTGGATTTCATTGAGTTAATCTTGCTGCATGCTGAATGTCCATGGAAGTGGTTAGTGTGTGGTTGCAGATGTGTTGTAAATTTATGCTTTCAAAAACTTTGAGATAATTTCTTGGTGTAGTGCTACGTGTATGAAGCTTTCTTTTTTTCCTCTTTAAGTTTTATACCTCATCATTTTGGGAGTAGTCCGTATCTGGAAGTCAAAGGGGAATAATATGAGCAAATAGAAATGATAATGAAATTCAGATGATGTTGTATCCATATTCAAGGAACAGATTCAAAAATGGAACATTACATAGGTCAAATTAAGTATTATTTTTTCAAGATGCAGGAAAAGAATTTATTTATTTATGATCAAGGATGTAGTACAGTGTTTTTTGTGTGAAGTTCTATCATAAACTTTAAATAGATACCCCATTAGACAAGAAGGAAAAACCTGGAGTTATTAAAAATTGATTTTTTTTTCAATTCCCTTTTTCTTTCTTTCTTTTTTTTTTTTTTTAAATTATTTTTAAGCGTCAGCTGTGTTGCAGCTTCTTCTGCTACCTCTCAGTCTGGAGAATTCTACCAATATTTCACATTTTATAACAGTAGGAACCATTTTCTCTCTAATTACAACTCCTGCAGAAGAGAGAACTGATTTTAAATTTTCTGTATATAAGCAGAAGTTTCCTGAGTATTGTAGAAAATGTTTATGATGGTAAAGAGATAAGCTTCTTCAAATATGCCTAGTTTTCTAGTGTTTAAGGAGAAAGCTTATAAGGAGACAAAGGTTGTCTCTATTTCCTATGAAATTTAATACATTATTAATATCTTTAATTCATGTTTGTATATATCCTCTAATTTCTGTACATCTCTGAGTTTCTTTGCTTAAAAAAATAAAGTAAAAGGGCTAACAAAAACATGGAGTTAGGAAGAATAATTAAAAATCCTTACAAACCTTAAATATCTTTCACTTCAGTAGGGAAGGAGAAATGTAGAATAGGAAGAATCAGATGTTTGCAGGCAGATTCTATTGTGCTTTTAATTTTATGCTGAACACTTGTGTATTCTGCAGGTTGCATCTGCTAAATGATGGATCTTAGATAAGTACAGTGTCTGAGGAGAACATAAGGGAGATAGCAGGAATATTGCTTCTAAATCATAGTTTAGCAAACAGTCATTTTAACAGGTCCTAATACAAAGTTCAGAGCATACATCTTGACTGTGAAGCCATTAGTGGAACAGAGGTAAAAATTGCAGCAGAGCAGACATTGGTCTTGTAAAAGCAAATGCTATTGCAATTAAAATTTCTGTAGATATGCAGCTGAGGCCCCTAAACAATGTGATTGCACTCTACAGAAATGGAATATTTTTCAAGAACACAACAGAAAATACATGGCTATATGAAAAGCTTTTCACTTTTGGAGGACAGTACCTTTTGATTTGATGATTTCCAATTCTATTTTAACTGTGAAATCTGTATTTCAGCTAATTCATATTTCATAGAAGTTTCAAAGAGACCCTTCAGACATTTAATAACTAGCATTTCTTTTCAAGATCTTGCACAAAACATTAAGTGGAGAAATCTTTCTTTTTTTTAACTTAGAAAGAGTATAGAAAAGATTTGGAAGAAGGGATAAAAGGAAAAGGAATGACTGTGTTTGAAGACACGCCAGATTTGATTAGAGTGAAAAACGCAGCTCAGATACTGAATGAGGTATGTTTCACTAGTCAAGGTTATTGATGTCGCAGGAAGTTTGCTCTTTATGGTACATTCTATTGAAAATACTCTTTCTTTTTTACATAACCCACAATGTTGTATCTGTGTGTTGAAACTAATGCTGTTTCTATTTTGCATTAAGAATATAGAAAAAACTTTCAGAGCAGTAAAATGTCAACTGAAATTGTTAGTGGGGTTTGTGTTTGTTTTGCAGCTTATTCATTTGTTCAGCTAGTGTAATTAATACGATACTGGGAAAAGAGATAACTGTTAATGGATTTTTAAAGAAAAGACAATTAAATGTTTTCCAGTTTTTTGGAATTATATGCGTATTTTTGAAAATAAATATTGGTGATACTTCAGACATCTCACAAAGAACTTTTATCTGAACAATCTATTTTGCTTGTGAAATCTTTCTTCCAAAAGTAGAGCTGACATGAAGAAATAGATTTTCTTGAGCTTGTGGTTAATTCTTTGCAAATAATTTTTTCCTTAGTCTTTTACAATATAGGAAGCTAGGAGGGGCCACCTGCCTTTCAGCAGGTGCACAAAGGATGTGTGAGATAACATGTGAGATGAGGTTAATATATTTTCTGTAAACAAACAAACAAACAATGTCATTAGAAAAGGAAGGAATAATTTTGTCCTGCTTATACCCTCATCACAGTGAGACAAATATGGAAGAATTTCAATCTTTTTGCTGTGGTTCTTGTTGCTTTATGCTACAAGTGGCTAGGCTATTGTAACAATAGAAATATATTTTCCTTCTTTTTAAAATATATATACCTGGTAAAGAGCGTTAACAACTAAGAGAAGTAAGAAGGAAATATTTTAATTGTATATATTTATTTTGCAAAAAATTACCTGTATTCAGCAGACAGAAAATTATTAGTACTTTAAAAGCAGAAGCAGCCATGCCCGAGAACATAATCTTTTTATTTTTTTGTATGTAAAAAGTGTGATTGTATACAGTGTTTCAGGATTACATTTTAATATCATTTGATGATGAACAAGTAATATATTTTTGCTTGGGTAAGATGAAGATAAAATATTCATTTGGTTTCCTCATTATTGGTTATTTATAATTTATATTGTGAGGGAAAAGCAGCAATCATGGATGAGTGCTGCCACTTGTCTAATGGCTGTGGTTCGGGAAGACCTATTAAATGAATAAATTACAACTTCCTGCTCTACAAGTTCACTGGAAACAATTCTGTGCAGTATTAAATTTCTAATAAGTAGTCTTTTCATAAATAAAATATTTTCTTAAAGTAAAATGTGTTTGAATTGGGCAGACACCAAGTACCAGCTTATTATGCTATGTTCTACAAAGCTGGATTGCTCCTTTTCTTTAGAGGATAATTACAGCGAGCTTGGCAGACTGATTCCTCCGTCCCCTCTGCCAGATTTAACATTCATTGGTAGAGTTTTGCACATTTGATGATTATCTCCTGAAGTTTTGTTCCTATGGTTTGTTATGTGTTTTCATTATAAAAAGTTGCCAAGATTCTTGCCAGTGACTCTCAATTGGACGTTTTTGGTAGACTCAAGATTGTGACTCTAAAATTGCATCTCTTGTGCAAAAAACTACTTGTAACTCTTTAGTTATTGTGAATCAATAGTTTGAAGTTTTATCTTCACAGAAACAATACAAGAAAGATCTGGAGACTGAAATTAAGGGGAAGGGCATGCAAGTTGGCCCAGATACTCCTGAGATAAAACGAGTGAAGAAAGCTTCTGAAATTGCAAGCATTGTGAGTACTGTATCCGGAGAAAGGTTTCCATTTGACAGAGTGCAAAAAATTATTTTGATCAAGAACGGCGGCAAATTTGGACTGTAGCAATAGCACATTTCACCAAATACCGAATCCATGACCTGTTTAGAGTCGAAAGTTGCCTAATCCTTATACAAGTAAAACCCAAGAACTACCAGAGTTTCAACCCTCATGATGTTTTGAAGTTGCACATTTTGCTTGCTTACAACACCTGAACTTCAATGTCTTCTGTAGCTACAGCTCCTATTGCTTTTAGGTTTAAATAGCTACTGCTTGTTTGGGCAAAGGCAAATGATGCTCAGAGTTAGAGAGATGCTAAAGGCCTTGTGGCCTCAGTGTCACAAAAACCAGCCGAGTGAGAAAGCCTCATCAGTCTCATCCAAAGCTGGAAAGACCAATTTATGTAAAAAGCTCTGTGAATTTTGAATAAAGCTGTCTATGAAAAGAACTTTTAACCAGGGTATCTTGTAGCTGGATCCCACAAAGGAAATGCTCTTGATACAAAAAATATTTGGTGTTTTATGGATACTGTTCAGTAGAACTACAGAGATTAATGTAGGATCCATATAAAGACTTGGCTATCGAATGTCTGAGTATTTCCTATGTTATCATTAACAGAAAGAATACAAGAAAGACTTGGAGAATGAAATTAAAGGAAAGGGAATGGAAGTGGGCATGGATACCCCTGATATACAACGAGCCAAGAAAGCTTCTGAAATTGTAAGCCAGGTGGGTATAAAATTGATCTGTAAGATTACTTTTGAAGTAAAACATAATGACAAACAAAAAGTTTTCCTGAACACGTTTGGACTAAAAATAAATTAATGGTGCACAACAACAAAAAAAATAGATTGCAGACATTGGAGCAGTGTTATCAGAATAGTTTTAATGACAGCATGTACAAATTGCTGTAGAATTAGTTGTGTTGCATACTCAGTAATTTTCCTTTTTCTTCTTTTTTGGCAGAAGGAATATAAAAAGGATCTGGAGACTGAAATTATAGGAAAAGGGATGCAAGTTGGCCCCTATACTCCTGAGATACAACGGGTCAAAAGGGCTTCAGAAATAGCGAGCCAGGTATGCACAGAGGCTTTCACAATTGCATTAAATGAATTTATGTGTAGGGAGAATCTTAGTGATTCAAGCCATGTATACTTCAATTGCTTATATCTACTTACAGGTGTTTTTATATTATCTAATAGGAAAAAGCTATGTATATATGTATATATGAATCATTTGTGTGTGTATACATACATATATATCTATATATATAGGTGCATAAATATTTTCTCTTCATTGTCCTTGACTGTCGGACATAGGTCAGTGATGCTGTGAGGAGACAGGGTGAAATAAACACCATATAGGGCTGCTGAAGCTCATCAGTAGTAAGCACTTCTTGTTGCAGTTTGGATATTGTAAGCCCTAAGAACTTGAACATTTTCAAACTATTTTTCAGAAAATATACAAAGATGAAGCAGAGAAGATGCTCTGTAGCTATTCTGCTGTCCCAGACACTCCAGAGATGGAAAGAATTAAAAGTACTCAGAAAAACATCAGTTCAGTGAGTAATAGCACTTCTCCCTTTACATGCAACTTTTCAGACTTTTTTCAGTTTAAATAGTCTCTTTTGTGCCTCAGCATGAAACAAGGAATCTATGAGTAAATGTCCTTGCGAAGTATTTACATAATTTTCCTGGCATAGGCTGTATCACTCTTGCCTTTCAGGGAAAAAAACACCCACCTTTTCTAGGTGAGGCAGTGTTATCAAGCCATGCTTATTTTTGATTGAAGACTTTTTTTCTCATTTAAACCCCAGGAAGTACATCACTAAAAAAGACCAAAAAAAAATCCTAAAGTTTGGTACTGGACATATAAAATCTACCATCTATTTCCTATCATATGTATAGCACATCAAGATTCTTAGTATAAAATTACATCTGTCTAATAATTTTATGTTATACTGGAGATACCGAGAATACTGGATATCTCCAGCATAATGTATATATTATACAGATACTAATTTTATTCTAGATCTGAGTTTCAGGTTACCTCTAATGTAAATTACGAGCTCGGATTTCTAGGTCTGTCCAGTATGTGATTGTTGTATTCAGTTCTGTTCCCTTTTGTGGCCCATTTATTCTGCCCTGGATAATTCTGGCTGTGCTTGTAATGTAACAGTGAAGAGAGAGGATGGAGATTAATTTTTTTTTTTTTGTGAAGGCAGTTGAGCCATTGCCAAGCAAGCCCCTACCTATCCCCTCTCTTCTCCAGCCAAGCTAGCTCCTGCCCATTCAAAACCTCTTCTCGATCCTTCAGGTTAGTCCATCACCAATCATTCATGCTTCAGGCTTTCCTAGCATTTGAAGGAGTCCCCAAACAGATCTAAAACAATAGCAGGTCTAAAAACAATAATAATATGAACTCACCAGCACACATTTTTCCCTTTCTTTTTGTTGTAATCCTTAAGCAGACTCTGAAATTTAGATCCTAAATGTAAGCTATTTTTTAGTACGGGATTTTTTTAGACAGAACGGGGAGTGGTCCCAATATAGAAAAGAAAAGAAAAGATAATGAGCTTAATTGGTTTCTAACTTATTATTTTGACTTTGGTTAAAGTATTTTCCTGCTCTAGAGGGATGAAGAAGTGGCTAGTGCTGCTTTTAGCTTGCAAGCTCCTTTGTCCCAATGATTTACAATAGGATTTTTGCTCCACAGACATCTCTCTCACAGAAAAATTCCTTGCTCAGATATTTTTTACCTCTTGCTCCTTGGTAGAAAAGCATATTTTAGTTCAGTCCAGTGTGTAAATCTTTCTACCTTGTACTGACAAGCTTAAGTAGAGAAATTTTCATGTACTAACTCATAAACTGCCTGTATATTCACATGGTAAAATTCCAAATTGTTGGAAGGTTTTCTGTGTCTTAAATAATGAATTGTGTACATGAGTAATTTACTCTCCTGTGGAGTATTTAACAGTCCTGGTCACCATAGGTTACAAAAGATTTTAATGAATTAAGAGAAATGCATTAAGAATGATATTTTTGTTGTAGTTTAAAGTTTGTGGAGAAAAATAAAAATTTAAATGAAAGTTAAATAAATCCCTGTTTAAAAAAGGCAGAAATATTAAGTGATAGAGATTTATTCTATGAATTCTAGGAAAGGGCTTGTTTTTAAAATGCAAGCCTGGAAATACTTACTGGAATGGCAGCACCTTTGACACCAAATCCTGAAATTCAGATAAAATTTCTTAAGGACTTGTACTGTCTGAATTGGTACTTCATGATTATTTAAATTATAGCTACATTCGGAACTTGTTGAACAGTTATTTACTATTTCCTCTTTATTGTCCCTGTAACTTTGAATGATTGATTCTACTGATGAGCTTTGTGTTTTATCCTTTATTGAAAAAATAGACACAGGAGTTGTGTAAGCAGCATGTGTATCTTTTCAGAAATAAACTTTGTTTTTAGATGCAGTCCTCAGCTTTCTGGCTTGAACCCAACATTTAAAATTGCACGACTTGGTTTGTAGCTCTGGTTCTTGTGGTTACTTAGTCATGAATGTATCAATTTTCTAGTTTGTTAAATTAGGAATAATAATTATTATTCACTTCTCAGAATATATAAGATCTGAAGATTAAAGAAATCAAATCTTGCATGTACATACACATTTAAGTAATTACATTGAAGTCAGTGAGATTACTCAACCGTGAAGTTGCACTTGTAAATGTTTATACATTATGATTTCTGTTCTCAAAATTTAACATTACAAAATATTAAAAACAATCTGAAGGATGATAATAGATTATCTGGGTTACTTTTAAAATCAGTGTTATTACTGTTATTGATAATTGACCTGATTGATCTGATTTATGAAAAATTAAAGTATTTGCTTTCTTAGAATGATTTATGGTCAAATCAATTTAAAACATGGAAAATTGCCCAGTGCTATTATGAAAAGTTATACTTGCATTGCTAAGAGTCTCATAAGAGTTTGTTTCTTCCCGGGGAAAATGAAGGTGTTTTATAAGAAGGAAGTAGGAGCTGGTACAGCTGTAAAAGAGACTCCAGAGATTGAAAGAGTAAAGAAAAATCAGCAGAATATTAGTTCGGTAAGTAACTGTTATTAATTATCTTTACACAAATAAATGGTTTTTCTTTATAGATTATTTACTGAAAATTCTACATTTTCCTGTCTTACTTCCCTATATATAATCCAAATGCTATTCCACCAAAATTTAGATGTAATGCTCCAATACCACACTAATGGAGTTCTGAATTCCAAACTAGAGTTTCATACGAAGTGTCATCAAAAATAGGGAATAGATATTTAACTAAGTATCTGGTGACAGAGCTTTATATTTTTGAGAGTGAAATGTATTTAATGACATGGAAGACTGAACAGCAGTTGTAATTTGCAATTTGTAAAAATATCACCAAAAAGAAAATATTTAAAGTTACTGTAGAGCCTGTGTGTATTACATAGGCTTTGGCAAAGTATACACTTCAAGAAGAAAAAGAATATATGTGCTTGGTCAATAGCTTGTGCTTCTTGACGGACTGATGACAAGTTGAACTGTGGATCTGATGGGAATGCTTCTGAAATTATATTCTGAAATTGATTCTCTATGTCTTTGGCACCTCTTGTCTTTGGCACTTTTACTGGCAACTCAGAATATCAAAATCAGAGTTTTCTACAGGTAGAACATGCTTTTAGCTTGCATGTATGACATAACGGAGCAGTTTCACATCAAGAAACACTTGCACAACAAGAAGTAATGCACAGCTGCACTTCAGCTCTTTGGGCCTTTCTCTGTACTGGCCTTTGGAGCGATTCTTTGTTTGCGACATGACATTTCTGATGATTACATACTCCCTTGAAAAGAAAGTTTCAAAGTAGCGCATAGGCATAATACAAGATGGTTGTTTAAGTATTATTTTGAACTGACTAAAGCACATTTGATGTTTACTAGAATTTTCTTGTTTGACAGTTAATATTAAATATTGCATTTCCTACAAAAGGAAGGGCAGTCTTTCAAAGTGAACTGGCAAAATCGTGGACAGTGTTCTTTTAGAAATCATAAAGAGTGGTGATAAAGGGGAAAACAAAAGGTGTGTCAGTATACTAGTAAACACACAACATGCATCTTTCCCATATCAAGAGAAATGCAAAATGCATTAGTGATAAGTTACATGGCCTTAACATTGCTAGCCATAAGAAAAATTAATATATTACACGAGATATTTTAGTATATATCTAATGTACTTAAGTTTACTTTGCTATTGTACAGTATTTTTAAAGGTTTATTAAACCAGGAGGATATAGGCTTGAAGCTCTTTGCTGACCTAGATGAAACTTTATAGCACTTGAAACACATACAAGGGAAGAAAACCAAGTCAAGATAACAATCAACATTGCATCATGTCCACTGTAACTGTTTTGGAACTGAGAAGCTACAAATAACTGAGCATGTTTTTGTTATTGTTAATTTATTTTGAGGGACACTGTGGGTTGGACACAGCCTTGGGAAGAAAATATTTGGGGGAAGATTTTTGTTCTGTTGTGTGTTTTTGTTGGTGTGAAATCTGTGAGGAAACTCCTATGATATGTCACTCAGTACCACAAAGACCAGGACCTGAGTAAAGCTTAAGTAACAAACTTTTTGAAGCACATTTAGATTACTTTAAGGACTGGTAGCGCTACCAATTTTTAAGCTTGGCTTATAGTCTCTATTAAAAAACCCCGTTGTTAGTGGCTTAGTACTTCTGTCAATCTTTAGGTGTCTGGACTGAAATTTTCCACTCCTGTCTGTGGTTTGAGATGTTTTCATTGTTTCCTGTCTTTTTTTTTTTTTGTGTGTGTGTGGTTTTTGTTTGTTTGTTTTTGTTTTTCATTTCAGCTAAAGCAGTTTCCAAGAATGAGGCTAGAGTTTTTTGTCTGTGTTACAAAAAATTGGCAGTCTTCAGCATTACCATGAGAAGAGCTGAAATTTATCTAGGAAGTGACTTTTGGCAGAGTGGAATTGGGAGAAAAAGAGATTAGGGATGAGAATTGAAAATGTGGAAGGTGTTGGTCATGGCCCAATTAGAGAGGCCAACTGTGGAGAAGGGTGGTGTGTTCCTGTGCATGGATGCTTCCCTCCAGCAGAACCCGAGACAGTCTTTGCTGTCAGCATGTATCTGTGAAACCCTTGGACAAAATTTTTTTTGTTCCTTAACAAACATGTCCAGAGAGGTAGCAATATGTGGTGGTTTCCATGGGTTTGGGCAGTCAGTCTACAGGACAGGACCTTATGCTACAAAGAGAGTTTAAGATGAAAGCACACAAAGGAATGTATGTTTGTGCAGGGTTACCCTCCCTCCTCCTCTTTTTGATTTGTAAATCTTGAGAAGCTGCCTCCCCAAGAGGCGTATGAAGGCGTATGATTGAGAGAACAAAATTATTACTGGAAGATTATTGAAGGTCACAAAGTCAATACTCAAAAGGACCAATTCAAGTCCCTGCATGTAGGCCAGATGACACAATCCCTAAGTAAATGATTTTATACTATGACACTGACAGACCTTTTTGGACTTTCTCTTTTACAAAAAATAATTCAGTGGGAATTGTCTTTTGAATATGAGGCTATATAATCCTATGTCTTACTAAGAAAGGGCCATTGACTCTATTCACTGAATGGGGCAGAATCGTCTTGAGAAACAGAGCTTTTGATAATAGACAAAGAAGGTTAAAAAGCACTTAAACAGAAACAAAAAGTAGTATAAAATATATTAAAAACTCTGTATGGAACATATTTACACAAGGGATTGAACTAAGAACTTCATTGATGAAGTTAATTGTGCCATTTTTTTCTGATTCTCGAGTGCTGGATTTTGTGGTCTTAAAGATTTATTTAAAACAAGTTTTGATTGCCATGGAAATTTGAAACTATACGAATTGATTCATTATGCTGTTCCCTTGTTCTTACCATTCTTTACTTCCTTGAGTCTGACTAATGAAAAATGTTTCCACCTAATATGTGTCACTGCACACACACAATTCTGAATGCTTTTATGAATTTTATGCTGTTTTATTACCATTGTAAAGAGCAAAAAAAAAAATCCATATTACTGTAAAGAATGACTTGATCTAAGAGTATTGTTTATATTAGATGTACTCAATGTACTGAGTACTGCATTGGTATTTAGTAAAAGGCAGTAAAAAAGAGACATTACAGAGATTTTTCCAAGATAGTGCTATTGAATAGCATATGGAAAACCAGAAAATATAATGCCTTTCTCTCTGGTAGCATATCCACTTAACTTGACGCTCTTTCTCACTACCTTGAATTGCAATTTTGGTAGCTGTGTAGTATAATTGAAGAAGTTCTTCATCAAGAACTTCACAATCCCATATCACCCTTACTCCTGTGGTAACAGTCTTCAGATACCAGGCTTGTTATACACATTCTGTGCTCCATCATAACAAACAAGATTCATTGAAGAGCTTAGCAATTCAAAAATTAAAAATAATTGTTCCTGATCAGGTCAGGAGTATTGGTAGGTCTAGCTTTGCATTGAAGTGTAAGGGAAGGATTACAAAATACTTATTGTGCTTTAGCTCTTGTCTGCATGTCTCTTAAGGTGCTAATTTTTGTAATATTTATTGTGCAGATTAAATACAAGGAAGAAATTCAGCATGCAACAGCTATTTCTGATCCACCCGAACTAAGGAGAGTTAAGGAAAACCAAAAGAATATTAGCAATGTGTGCACCATATTTATTGCTTGCATTCTTCTCTGCTGTATTAAATTTGTTCTGTATGCTTCTGTGAATATGTCTGTGATGTTTGTGCCAGTTTCTCTTTGTCCAAAAAGGCTGATTTAACCAATTAACTTAGCTTTGTGCTTTGATTAACATCAATGAGAGTGATGTGTTGAAGTATCAATTGTCTCACTGCAAGAACTGCAAAAGGGTAAGTACTACATATCGTGTATTTATTAAGAAATAACATTTTCTAGCTAAATGCAGTGTGCTCTGTAATGATTTCTAACACAATGTATTTCTGTTATTTGGAAGTCTCTGTGTAATATCTTATGTCATATTTACTAGGTTCAATACAAAGAACAGCTCTGCAGAGCTACACCTGTGACTGTCACCCCTGAGATTGAAAGAGTCAAGAGGAATCAAGAGAATGTCAGCATGGGAAGTTGCTCTAATTTAATCTTTTCTATAATTTCTAGGTACAGAGAATAAGTACAAAGTTGTATCTCCAGAAACTGTCTTTTCTTTAGTTAAGCACAGACTCCCTAATGGAATTCCTTGAAAACCATTTCCTAGGAAGCAACTGTGAAAAGCCATTACTTCTTTCAGGAAATGGCATGTGAAGTGGCACATTCTTGATTAAAGAAAAGGCTGCCATTTTTTGAAACGTTATTCTGTGTCTTGGATTTTTGTAGGAAATCTTATCTTCTTTTTTCTTTTTATAAAAAAAAATAGCCTTTTAAAAGTACAATTGGCTATATTTGTACTCAAATAGCTGCACTTTAACATTTCTCTTTCTGGTTCCTCAGTAACTTTATTGGTAAAATCTAGCATTTAATGACCAAAGTAATGTAATGAAATCATACTTTTGTCAGGAGCACATGGAAGAAGGTAAGGAATTTTGAAGCATACTTTTTCTTTCTTGCACTTTTGAACAAGTTACACTTATTAACCAGTCTTTGAGGGACCAGCCACTTTTCTCTTTGGGACTTCTACTGGCACCCATACTTCATGGGCTATAAATAGCCACAACATTTCTCTGTAATATTTTCTGTCTTTTTCTCCAAATTTTTCAAGAATACCTCTCTACCTTAAGCATGTGCTAGTCTGTTCCTATATTTCTGGTGATGCATCCAGCTCTCTAAAAGTGCTTACTGTTCAAAAGAGCTAGTTACCAAGTGATCCAAGCCAGTATGTATAACTGCCCTGCTCTCATCATTGTTTACCTTTCACCATTTTTTGTGCTGTACAAATTCTATTGAAAAGATTAAATTCTCTTTCAGGTCACCGAAAAAAGTGTTGAATAGCTTTGGGCAAAGACTGTGTAATTTCAGACCTTGATAGAAACACTAAGTCTTGAATAAACATATTACCTTCACAAATGTCATTTTGTAAGTTTTAATCCATTTGACAGTGTATCACCATCTTTATAAGATGTTAATTTTCAGCTGGGATGTGGACATATCAGATCTGGGTCACATGAGAGACAGTTGTTTGAAGAATATGCATTTTAACGTCACAGTGGATTGCAGAACTATAAGCATAGTATGTCAGCACAGCTATGCTTGTGACAGAGTCATGAGAGCTTATAAAAATATTCTGCTTTGTATTAAAATACTTATTTTGCATAAAACTGTCTTGACTGATAAAAATAATATAAACATCTAAAATTCTTAAATAACTGTATACCATATCAGACTTTCCAGTATTTTAGACCCAGGTTAACATCAGACTGATTGGTCAGTGAGTGCTCGCATCTTGTTTTTCTTTGTTTAGATACTGGTGCTGCCTTGGGCATGCATTTATTTAATGCATCATTGCTACCAGTGTACTTCTGTGGAAAGTCACAGAGAGGATGTTTTTAAGCTGAAGGAGCACTTAAATAAAAACACGGTGAAGTTTGGGGAGTTGAGCTCAGTGCGCAATCATCTGATTTATTGCATCCACTGTGGTAAATCACCTCTAAATACACAGAATATAAAAGTTAGGACATGGTATCCTTTAGATGGTATCCTTTATGGGATCTCCGTGAGTAAACAAATGTGCATTTAAAACAGGCATTGATGAAATTGAGGTTTTCACTTGCACTTCTTAAATTCCCTGTGTTAATTGTGGCTTATCCTATTCCAAATATAAGGTATTTCTATCTACTGACAGAAACTGGTGTGTTAAATGTCAAGGTGTTGTTTTGTGCCTATGTGTGAATATGTTCACACAAATACATTAAGACCATATAGAAAGAAATCAAGGTTATGTCTCAAGAATCAAGTTTTATGAGCTTTAATAAACTTCAAATGCATTTTAGGCTTTCATTTGTTTTCTGGATGACCTTTTAAATCATACATTTTAATGTAATGCAATTTGATATTGCTTTAGCTGAAATGGTATGTACCATTTTATTCTGTTAAATAATAGGTTCACTACAGAGAGCAGCCTGGCAAAGCTACTGCTGTGAGTGTCACTCCTGAGATAGAGAGAGTCAAGAAGAATCAAGACAACATCAGCTCGGCAAGTCGTTTGAATCTTTCTGTCATTAAGATTTTCAGTTAGCGTAGGAGTACAACAAGGATATGCTTTTCCATTTAGAATTGATGTGTCAAATGAATTCAGCTGCATCATCCACTGAATGGATTTTTTTTTTTATCCTTTGAATACATACACTGTACTTATGGACAACAAATATGTTCATGGTTGCCTGATTATTCTTACAAAAAATGCAAGTGCATGTGTTGGAACCAGTGTTTTTCCAGGAGAAAGTCTTTAGAAGTTTGTCATTATTCTTTCGAGAATCTTTGTCTCTTCATACCAAGTTTTAGTTCATAGATTTTAGAATTAAATTTTAAGGAAGTAAAGAACAGGGAAATGAGAATTAAATTTGTTACAAATATCTTTTTTTTTTTAATGATTCATATCATAGAAGTGTATAATCATCTGTTCCACCTTGCATCATGCCACATATGTCACAGCTCAGTAGTCTTAGGGAGATTCTATTACTTTAAGCAGTAAAGGATGAGATACTATATTTATTTTGCTTTTTTTGATTATATTTATTTATTTGTTTTAAATTATTACTATGGTGTTGTAAATAGCAGCAGGCAGTACAAATAAGGACCAAGGGAGAAGTCACAATAACAAGGTGCTTAACTAATATGTGATTTTTAAAGGCACTTAGACAATCTAAATTCTTTTCAGAATCTGCGACCAATATACTCACTAATATATCCATTAAATCTTTGAAAACAGACTTTATTTCTCTCATTACAAATGCATATTGAAACAGATTTCCACAACTGATTTGAGATACAACGCATCTAAAATAATATTTAGTAATATTAAGTACAGAGTTACAATATAATATTGCGGCTAAAACCCAGTCGTAGAAGACTGACAAAAAGATGACAAAGTTTATGTCGAAATATTAAGCCAGACAGTGATAACTGTGATGGTATTCACTGGGCTCGTGATATCAACTACTTCTACTGTTTTACAGTTTTAAGATTTTTTTCTCCAAATAATTAACCTTTCATCTATATGTTAAGCACATGTCTGCAAAATGCCACCAAAAAAAAAAAAAAAAAAGACTAATAAGAAAACTGTAACATAGGAGTTTCTGTACTTAGTGCTGCACACCAAGCACAGAGCCCAACCATTCTCTTTGAAAACAGCATGGCATATTCAGATTTATTCCAGACACATTGCTTTTTTTCTGCTAGCAAAAAGCCAGCTATCAGACATGAATATGAAACCTGCCAAAAGAATACTCTGCTTTTACCAGTATAGTTCCCTAGGGTTCTCCCCTGGAAGTAGACTGAGGACAGAATTTGGATCTGTCTAGCTAACGAGAAGATAGTTTATTCTCAGTCGTAGAAATATTTTTTTAAAGATGTCCAAGAGAAGTCAGAGTGGTGTTTTTTTATTGTCTTCACTCTAACTTGTCTGCTATGTACTGTTTCATATATGTCATTAAAAAAGTCAGGAGTTTTAACTTTCAGGTGTTTTTTAAGGAAGTATTGAGGGAATAAATGTGCCTTTGATCTTACCAGTGTACTAATCCATCTGTATCTTCTCTTTAAAATAAATCACTAGAAGATGAGTATAAAGAAAGAAACGAGAGAAAAATGTTGAGCACTGTGGTTTGTATGGGATGCCATTGCATGGGGTAGCACACACCATTCTGTCTCCTATGAACAAAAGCTTCACGTGCACTGTTGCTGTTTTGCAGGTCAAGTACAGCACTGATCAGAGGCAGATGAAAGGTAGACGTAGTGTGATTCTAGACACACCTGAGCTAAGGCATGTCAAAGAAACACAAAACAACATCTCAATGGTAGGGTACCTTCTTCCTATGACTAGACTATACTAAGGAATGGCAGTTGACTTTCCACTGGATTTGCCTTCCATTAATATAGGTAACTAATGAAGCTGCTAA